GAGAGAGAGAGAGATTAAAACCAGCAACGGTCGCCTGGGATGATACGTCCGACGACTCACCTGTGACCGCTTTTGCTTTGGGTTTGAGCTTTCCCCTCCCTCCCTCTTCTCCTCCTGTCCACCTCGAAGATCCTGAGCGGAATCTCGGCTGCTGTGTTCGAGATGTACATGCCGGTCATGTTAGCCCGGGCGGTGCTGGATAGGCTGGAGGAGCCGGTCACCGTGGAGGCTCGGCCGCCGCCGGCGCCGTGCGCGACGCGCTCCACTTGGCACTCCGTGGAGACTCTGGTGGTGGTCCTGGCGGCGATCACGATGGCCGCGGTGATCGCGGGGGTGTTCGCCCGGGCGTGCGGCGGGCGGCATCTGGTGGGCGGCGGTGACCGCGACGTCGAGGGGTGGGTGGAGCAGAAATGCAGTAGTTGCCTGGACGGCGGCGTGGCACCGCCACCTCCTCCGAGGTCGGGTGAAGGCAAGAATTGAGTCGGGTCAGCGGATTAGAGGAGAAGGAAGAGGAGCTCGTTTGTTTGGGTTTGTTAGTGAGTAGTGGTATTATTAGCTCTTATTCTTTTAGCTTGAGTTGTTCTCTATCATATATAATGACTCTGTACATGTGTTTCTACTACTCCAAAGTGTTTGCTGAAATGAAGTATTGGTTTGTCACTTCCATCCTAAGTACTTACTGTATCCCTGATAAGTTTGGGGTTTCCCCTGCATCAATCATAGTCATGGCAGTAAACCAAGGAAACAAGATTTTTGAGTTGAATGGAGGACTGATGATGAAAAGCTGCACAAGGCCAGTCTCCACCTACCTTTCTGCAAGCGATGGGTTTTTGGGTAATGCTTCTACTTTGTTCACCGGAAAGCTTACAATGTTCACTCGCTATAAATATGTAACAAGCGAAGGACATTGTCATGTTACAGAATGAATTCAATCCACTTAGTTCCCCTAACATATAATTGATAACGGTTGATCTCCTCCTATGTTGAGAAAAATTCTGGCTTTGTAAATAGGGAGCATCGTATTGTTTCAATCTTCTTCTTTGTATTTTATTTTTATCAATAATCTTCGTGTGACTATTAAATTGGTATAAAGGAGATAACACTTACCCCTTTGATTTACTTACAAGACATAAGTCTAAAGCATACGATTATGATATGCATCCTCCGTTTTTACTTTTTATGTGGACAAGAGACCAAAAGATATTGTCACTCAAGAAATATTTTTTGAAATATTTTTATCTTTTTTTACCTAATAGAAAAGCTAATATCTAACACATGAATTGAGATTAGTCACTTATTTATTATTTCACCTAACTTCACCTCACCTCACCTTGGGGTTAACTAGGATATCAGAGGGACCAGGTCAAGAAAGTCACTCCTGACCTTGGTCTTCAAGCAAGTTATCGGTAGAGCACCTGAGCGCACCTACACCAACTATTGTGAGACCACCAACGTCACCTCATCATTCATGTAGATATGTAGTCGAATCACGTCGGGCTAACCTAAATATCAATAATATATATTTTTTATTCTAAAATGAGAGCTATGTCATAGGAATGTTAGCTCGTTGACCGACTCAACGAGTATTCAAGTGATGATGCTTCACTCCCGACCTATAGTACTTTCACTCATAGGGGGTAGTAGTCGATATTTTTGAATCTTGATACTTCCACCTTAATGAGTACTCTGATAAGGTACTACATTGTGTAATTCCTAGTGTCATCAATAAGCACTTACACTATATCTATAGTGTCCTCATGCAAGCAGTTACGGGATCAACTACTTTCATTATATGAATAGGTATATAGTATACCGGTTTGTCCAGTTATCTCGATTTCTTTCTCGAGTAATCAATGGCTATGAATATTTAAGATGTATTTAAAGATGAATTAGTCTTATTATCATGATCTCATTATAATCCACTTTCCATTTCATAGATTCAAAGACATCACAATATATATATCATATAATATAAAGGAAGAAAATATCATTATCAATATTAACTAAAAGAGATTATGTAATGGATTACACGTGTCATCACTTATGTGATTGGTTTGTAGAACCCTATAACTAACAGAGGTACTACGAGTCACCTTGACGACAAGCAAAGAAGGAGCCCACCTCGACGGGAAAAGGAGTAGGTTGACAATGGCTAGCTTCCACCTCCAGTTATAAGCACCTTGGTGTTGCTATAGCATATTGTGTGGCGATGAATGATGTCCCTTTAGTAAATTGAGCAAGATGATTATATCCTCTATCACCCAAAATAGGCATCTTGATAGCTTCTCCCCCTACCTCTGCATAGCACAAGTGTTGGATAAGCTAACAGCTGCACTTTCAGACCTCTTTGGAAGATCCCAAAATGCACTTTCAAGAGTGAGGGGACAAATGATAGAGAAACATTATCAACCAATTATTATCTGACATGTGACCTTCGCATGGCGACTAAGTCGGCATAGGGGAGACAAGGCCTGACCCTTGGTTTGCTTCCATGGACATAAATCCAAAATAGGTAGTTACAAGTTATCTTCCTCCCTTTTGTCATCTATATAGGGGCTATTAGAGGCTATCCTTTTAGAGAATATTTTTAGAAATATTTTATCATCTTTTTATGTGGTATAAAAGTCTTATTTTTTTTCCATCTCATTTTACCTTATCTAAAGGTTAATTTGGGCATAAGTGGGATTAGGTTTGGAAACCTACACATGACCTTAGTCTTTGTGAAGCACATTATTATTTTTATATATGTGCAATTAAACCATATCGAGTTGACGTAAATATCAATTAACGCAAAGATTAATATTTGAGAGTATAACAAATAAGACGTGAGACACATCAAAAACATTACACCTGGCTTAAGATTACAATTGATCTATTAATGTTATTTTGGACTCAAGTATTTTTTAGGAATCATTTAGATTTAACAAAGTCAATATATCAATTATATTATTAATTTGATCCTGATAATTCAAGTTTAAGTTAGAAACATTAATGGTCACTTGGATTAACTTATATTAAATTATTTTAGACTAATAATTCGGACTCAAGTTAATATATCAATTGTCCTTATCACTGTGTCATGACAGTTTGCTCATGATGTCTCTACGGCTGCCAAGCCCAATGTTGATAGGGCTTTTCTTGGGCTCTTTGAATTGAACATTAGTTTCTTATTCTCATCCTACACTCGATGAGGATGGTTCTTAGTCAACAGCTCTACTTCAGCTCAAAGTAAGTGGAGCCCGTCTCGTCTCCGTCGTCTCAGGACCCAGTGATGGCTGGAGCCTCCCTCACCTGCAGCTCGCCCCAAAGTCCCACAAGAGACCAAATGAGACCGATCTCCATGGGCCTTGGAGAAGCGGGAAACCCAGTCACAGGCTCATGCGTTTCAAACGCTGTAAGATGACAAGGGAGCTGAGGACAGCAGACGCGGCTGTGCACTGCCGCAGCCACTGTGGGCAGGCAGAGGTTACTGTGAGGCGCAAACTGGAACTCATGATTCAGTATAAATACATTTATATACGTTCAGTAACTAAGCAGGGCGGGGACGCCATTAATGAAGACAATCTGCGGGGGCTTTAAAACTCACTGCCGAGCTTCAGATCGGCCATGTCGATCCGAAGGACATCTCTTGTTTTGTCCATCGTCTTGGACTTGCATGTCCACACTGGAACTACTGCCCCCTCTTCTCTTGTCTTGCTTGCTTGGTGGATGGTGGAAGGCACTAAATGGGAGGTATGTGGCTCCATGCATCTTATTGCCTCCCCCACCCCCCTTCTTGATTCAACTTGTCTTCTAGTTGTCTTGCATTCCATCTTCACACACCTAGAGAGGTTTTAAACCTAGTACGACCTTAGAAAGAGCGAAGAGTCTTTGTCTGTAACGAAGCTCTAATGAAACCCTACAAGGTAATACGTACTGTGGCTATGACTCAAATGTTTGGTTGTTTCAGCAACTCCACTTGGGATTTAAAGGCTTATCTAATGAAACCCTAACTATCGGAGGGATTTATCGGGAGACACATCGGTCCGGTGGTGCATTGCATGAGGACTCACAATTTCACCTCAAGGTTGGGGTGACCTTCCGCCTTGGCGTAGGTCACTGATACCAAGAGCTAACGCATCGAAATTGGACTTTGATACTATAGTATTGCATGAAACTAGTTTTGTTGCATCGTACCATTTCCTGTGATACCCAAATAAACAGTGAGTCCTTGTAATGTTGCAAGTTTAAATTTTCGAACGTGACACATAGTTAATAAACCCCGCAGTAGTACACATAGTTTTGCTTGTTGCCACATCCAGACAGAGACGCACTCGCTCCATTTTTCCCAACGAGTTGCACTACTTAATAATTACCTCATCAGCTAGATTCTCTATGTCAACTTGTCTGTACAATTCTGCTTCGTTGGGTACACAAAACCTTTTTCTTTTTCTCCCTCATGTTTTCGGTTCAAATCCTTTTTGTCTCCACGCTATTTCTTTCTTTCTTTTCATGGTTAAACTCGGTTTCCATCTCCATGGCGTGAACTCATGGATTGAGCACTTGGAACTATAACATGGGTAGGGAGGGGGATGACAGCTCCGCGGCGAGGTCGCCTCACGGGCAATAATGGCTGCAGCGATTTTGTGTCGCTCACCTTTCCCTGCGACCCTCGTCTTCCTCGCTCACCTCCCAAACTCCCACCTCTCCTGTGTCGTGACACAATTAGATTAGACTCGTTAATGTTCGCGTTGGGTTCGACGTGACCAACACAAGCGCCTCGTGAGTCACCTCCGGAGGAAGGAGGGACGGAGGAGAACCATTGTGATTATTAGTTAATGAACGAACGCGCCCCTCCTCCTCGGCGCGAATATTGAAGCACCGCTGGTCTAGGGACCCATCGAGAGCACCAACCAAACCTTGGGGAGATGTGGGACCGCCCCGTGCATGAAATTATCGCGACATCGATGGTGGCCGCGGTGTTTGACGATTCTGCCCTCGGAGATTCGCCTTGGCTTTCGATTCCGTGGCTTTCGGTGGTGATGATGTTCCCATCATTGGGTATCGAGTGTTCATGATTGGGACCGGGGAGGGTGGTTTGGTCATTTCGGGGATGCGAGAGATTGGTCCATTTCAAATCGAACCCTCTCCCTTCGCGGAAAACGAGGCACGCTCTTTGCGTTCTCTCCCCCTCGGCGGTATCTACTGCGGTCGCACGCCCTCTGTGACTCCCTTCGACTCCTCGCTTATGTAAGGAAGGGAAACTAAGAGCGCAAACTACGAAAGGTGGCAACCAGGAACGGAATGGCGGCGAGGAACGGAAGGTGGGAGATAGCGCCCCCGCCGAGGATTCTCAACCTGCCGCAGCGGTCAAGGCGGTCTCGGGCAACCGCACCGCCGGAGCAGAGACTGGACTGGAAGCTCGGGGAACTCCTGGATCAGGAGCGGAGTGCGACGCCGCCGCCGTCGCCTTTGACGTGGGGGATGTCCTCCGGCGAGGCCGTAGGGGACTCCAGTGGCGAGGAGAGGTGGCGGTTCCAGGCGGAGATACTTCGAGCGGAGTGTAACTTCTTGAGAATGGAGCGGGAGGTGGCGCTTCGGAAGTTGGAGAGGAACCGGGCCCGATTGGAGGTCGCGTTGAAATCCGCCATGGAAACCTTAGTCTCGGTATGCTCTAATTGCAATTTCGATGCCGTCACACTCATTCTGGTTCCTTCCTTTTTGTATCTCGATCTTTGAGATTGATACCGACCGGTCAGGGGAGGAAGAAGATTGATGGGCGCGCGGCAGTGGGCGCAGCATTGGACGAGGGGATCGAAGAGTTGGAGGAGAAGCTGCAGGAGCTCAAGTTGGCAGGAAGTAGCAGCCGGAGAAGGAGAACGGGAGGATCGAGAAAGCCGCCGCGAGGGAGTTGCAGAAGAAACTTCGACCGGCAAGCGTCAGTGCTTCGGCGGCAACTAGAGAAGCTGGAGGAGGAAAGCAGCGTGAAGGACATACGAGAGATCTCCGTGCAAGCCTTTGCAAAGAAAGACGCAGAAGCAGAACCACATGAACAGGAGGAGGATGCTACTCCCGGTTCGAGTCACAGTCGGCGGTCTCCCGACGAAGTAATCATCTCTACATGCTTAGCTTCAGAAAAGAACTCGATATATGAGTTAGATTAATTTTCGGTTCTTCCTGCATAATTTCTGATGCATCGATCGCTTGTTTCTGTTGTGTTGGAACCCCTTCCGGGAATAGGTGGAGATACTGAGAAGGAAGATGGAGGGGATGTCCAGGGGGATGTTGGAGAGGATGGAGGAGTGCAGCCACTTGCTCTCTGCCAACGTTAGTAGCAGCAGCAGCAGGAAGAGCGAGTGGAATTGCTTCAGCCAAAACATAACTGGGTACACTGAAGCAGCAGACAAGACAGACAACCCCTTCCTTCAAGTCCAGCAGCAGCAAGTAAGATTCAAAACCATCTCATATCTCATCTCATCTTCTTTCAAAAATGGCACTGCTGCATCTCCCCACACGCACACATGGCACCCACGTGGGCACCACGAGAGTGCCACGCCATGGACATGTCAGCAGCCTGTCCACATCCTGCACGCACACCATATGGAGTTTTAGGCATGTCAGATGCCGAGGAGTAGCCCACCAAGATGGATGCTGTGAACTCCTTCGCCATGTCCATCCATTGACCGGGATCAAATTCAAGTTAGAAAGCCAGTCTCGAGTGGGTGATTAATAATGGAGCTACTCCTGATGTCAAACGTTGGCTAGCTTGATAAGCTGGTGAAGACGTAAAGAAAGCAGCAGACTTAGAGGAGCCGTCAAGTTGACGATATACAATTCGTCCGTAATGGATACTTTTTATGCAAACCGAGGCAGACGCAGCAAAATGCATGATAGGACAAAGCTTTACGGCATAGTCATGAATGCCTAATAACTTCACCCACAGCTATTTTATGGTTAAGTAGCTTTGCCTTGTGCAGAATATTATATGAAACCTTCTTCGTTTTAATGGCAGGATGACCTTTTTTTTTCTCTTTGTGTTTGTTTTTGGTTACAATTAGGTTGTATTTGTTCTTCTTTTCTAAGAATGTTAGGCGGACAGCATCAAAGTTAGTACGGTGCGCAGTGCCTTAAATGCTGGCCAACTGGTACAAGATAACTGGTTTTCTCATAGCTGTCTACCCTGATCTTTCATGCATTGATGGCCTCCAAGTACTACTGGTCGTGAGCAATAGCATCAAGCTCGATTTAACTTGCATCCTCATTTTCTGTACCATAAGCTTTTGTTTTGTAGCATCTTCCCATCCTCCGTACCTAATTGCTTGAATGATTTGGTCCCAACTCTCTTTTGTTTTCGGTGCTGTTAATTGCTCTCTGAGCCTGCATGATTTAGACTTGTTGAGATCAAATCACTTGTGTAGTTTTGAGTTGTAGATATCCAGTTTTTGCTGAAGAGACTTTACATACGAGAATTAATATGTCTTTTTTTTTTTCTGGGTGTTCTGATTCCATACAGGATTCACATGGTTTGACATTGACTGCAAGTTTGGATAACTGTGCTTGCAGGTGGAGGAGAAGATGGAGCGGTTGTCGAGCTGCTGCAGTTGCAAGGAGGTGGTCGGCAGAATCGTGCAGCAGGTGAGGGCAGAGTCTGAACAGTGGAGCGAGATGCAGGAGATGTTGGAGCAAGTTAGGGTAGAAATGGAAGAGCTCCGGTCCTCCAGAGACCACTGGCAGCGACGAGCCATTGCCTCCGAGATCAACTTCCACTCCCAGCACGCGCGAGTAAGCCGATGTTGTTTGATCCATCTCTCTTAGGCCACTGTTAGTAAGCTGTTCTTGTTTGATACAGAAGCTGGAGCGGAAGCAAAGGGCACGATCTTGCGAGCGCAAGGTAATCGAGCTGCACAAGGTAGTGAAGGAGCTGCAGAGAGAGCTCCAGCCATCGAAGACCAGACTCCTCAATGCACCCCCTTCCACCCCTCTGCGGTCGCAGTTACATGATGCATACAAGGAGAAGGAGAAGCACGTTCTGGTGTGTCATCTGAAGTCACAGAACGATTCAAGCAGACGCTCGCCGTTGCAGGTCATCGATAACATGTCTCCCCTTCTCAGACCAACAAGTAGAGTAATGTAGGCACAGTGGGAAATGCTTTGCTTTGGTCACAGTCTTATCAGCTAGAGTTTGATTACCTGAGAATGGAAGAAGCCCTTGACAACAAGATCATGAATCCAGTGAAGTCTGCAGCATGATGGCAAATACATCAGAACCATATCAGGCACTCAACATGGATTGGTTACCCGTGAAGGAAGAAGATATAAGAGTTCTTTCCGAAGCATGTCACTTGGATTGCAGAAGATTTATATTGTTACATATGTCATCTCTACCATCAGTGATGCTGCAGATATTTGCTTAAACTTTTGCTGCACTGATTCAATAAGACAGATAGCTAACTGAGTTCGTTTGATGTGTATCACAGAGTTAAATATGATGTGTATATTAATTCATTTCACAGACGACTTTAAATATGAATATTATGGTTTTGATATAAAAAAAAAAGATTAAGATATCCCATTTGTTTGTTATTTATAAGGATTAAAAAAAGAAAAATTATTATGTTCGTGTTTTTTGTTTTTGTTTTTCTCACTCTCTGTTTCACATGTAATGTAAAAGTATATTTAATATAGAATCATTAAGTTTGTGATTGGATCAGTTGATCCATCAGTTCAACCGATAACCTAACGGCCAACATGATCGGATTTATATCTTATCTGATTCTAGTAGATTTGCTCATTGTCTTGGGAAGATCGTCTGGCCATGCCGTGGCCCATTTTGATGGGAGGGAGGTCTGCGAGAGCTTTGATGGGCCTCGTTAGACCAGTGGGCGCACCCAGAGACCCCAAATCCGAAACCCTTTCTCTCCTCCTACTCCTACTCCTGTACGAATGCGATCGACTTTGATGTTTTCTGATATGGCAGCAATCGTTGCTTATTCTGAATGATATCCGCTTTAATCGATGAGATATTTGCTATGTTTCTCATTTTTCCCATAAAAATCTCCTTGTTTTAATCGTTTGGTGTACCAATTGCCGTGCTCTGTTTTGCAAACCCAATCCTTTCTTGAAGGATTGTTCCAGTAGAATGTGGTTGGAGTAGGTTGCTTTTCTAAGCTTGAATCGTGCTCTCTTCTGTGGACGTTTTGACGCCACAACTTTTCTTGCGGATCCTTGTGGAGCAGAATATATAGCTGGATTTATCTGTACATTTCCGGCCATCGCTGTCTTCTGAGTTAAGGAGCTTTGTCTTTTCTTATGTTGGATTTGAACGAAGCCCCACGAAAAGTCGCGTCCTTTTGTTTTTGCGGCGTGGAAAGAGATAGCCGACGTGTCCTTCACAACTGGCCTTCAGATCTGCCTTATTCTGGTATCCTCGAAGCATTATGATTTCTATCTCCATCTTTTGATCTATTTAACTGTGACTCTTGCATTCCTTCTCTTCTGTATGTTCTGCATTTTTCTGAATCCCAAATCTTTTGTCTTTCTAAATCCTTTCTGGTTTGTTTTTCTTCGCAAAATTAGTTTTTGTATCTACAGATATTGTGTGTTCACGGTCGACGGTCAGATGTCGAAATCTGGAGCGCTGGATCTCGCTACGGGCGTGGGAGGGAAGATCAAGAAGGAAGATGTGCAGTCTGCTGTCGATCAGTTTGTTCCTTTACTCATCTTAATGCTGTGTGACTGTTGGAATGCATGATCTGAGTTCCAGTTTTCTAGTTTGTTCACTTTGAGCATGGCGATGAGAAATTTTGCTGACTAGCTAGCATTAGATTATGCTTTGGAACTTGGTTTGTAAAGGCTGAGCAATGGGTAGAAGATGCTAGATTCGTTGGTTGTTTTTATTTCTGTATGAAAGCATGGCCTTTAATGGATACTGGTTTACTGGATCACGTCCTAAAATCAAACAGATGCAAGAGCAGAAATGAAAACATAAAAAAGGTACAAGAAGAAGAATAAACTTTCAGAAAGTATGAGATAGTCTCATCCGTAAGTAAATGATCTTCTCCAATTCATCATCTGCAAATTGCTTGTGCTATGTTTCTTTTGTTAGTTAACCGATGTATTCGTTCCTACTAACAATAATGCTTATCTTCTCGGTGTTGTATGGTTGAATTGTTTGCCAAGTGTCTATGATAAATAATATTCTATGTAGTGAATCTCGCAATTGGATGACAGACTTAGTGTAAATCACCATATGGAACTATTAATTGACTTGACGGCCTTTTGCTACTTAGTTGACCCAGATCAGCCAGCAGGAGCAAGGATTTGGGACATTACTCCACCGTTGACCAAGTATTTACTGCTATTAAATGCTTCCTTCCGTGTTCTTTTGGACGCGCGTGGTGCAAATATATCTATTGACTTTGTCTTGGTTTATCAACTCTAAACGGTTGAACTAACACAGGACACAAACCTTGGTCACAATAGGAATAGACTAGACCAAATGACCAAATATTTCTATATCTTACATAATTTTTTATTTCTGAATTTTACTTCAGAAATGTTGGCCCAAATTTTTAGGAAATAATAGCAGTTAGGATTGCCAAAGTTTTATGGACCTTTTAGGTGTTAGACGTCCAACCAAGTGGTAATCCGGCAGCCAACGTTTTCTAGCCACTGCAAACAATGCCAGTCGTAACTATAGCAATGGAAGCTGCAAGAAGCACCAACAAAGTCAGCATTTATTGACTTCGCCCATTGGCATCAATACAAGGAGCACCATGGTAACAGTTGTCACTTTCCCAACTCTGATAGCGACAGAAATTACCGGCATAGCAGGAATACTAACTATATTGGCATCTTTGCATTTTTGAGGACATCTCAGATTTGCCACAATTTGAACCAGATATCTGATGCAAAATGAGTAATATTTCATTTTTAAAATTAGCCTCACATTTGCTATCAACTTGTGCAATTATATGAAAGTAATTTTTGTTGTGATGGTCCAATAGTCAGATTTCCATATGGCTTAAATTGCAAAATCATTGATATATTACAATGCATTATTGCATTAGGTATGAAAAGTATCATGTCAGTTATGGAGGGGATGAGGAAACAAGAAAAGCAAACTACAGTGATATGGTATGTTATACATATTGGTCAAATTGCCTTTTTGTTTACTTCAAATCTAATAAATTTTTTTGTTCAACAGCCTATTCAAATTATTGCTAGAATCAGTGCAGGAATCATGATGAATTTGTATAAACATATTGCAAACCTTGTTTTGCCTATTCTTTTAGGATGACAAATCCATTTGGGACATTGGAATTGTATTTCTGTAACACCCCTGAGTAGTCCCACATCGAAAGTGGGCAAAGATTAAGATTGGCTTATAAGGGTCTGATGAGTGTACTACTATCAACTTCAGCTTAAGAATTTTGGTCAGTGGTTTAGACCAAATGAAGTTGATAGGCTAGTTAGCCCATCAGGCTCGGGTCATGACATTTGGTATCAAAGCCGACCTAGCATTTGAGTATGGTGAGGGGGCTCGAGTAGGAAAGGGCTATTCGTATACGAAGTCAGAAGACTCGTCACGACATGGAGCCACCACTGGGCTATGCCTCACATGCACTATGCTAGGGCCTAATCTGGGTTATGTTGGGCCTTGACGAGGATGTCAAACCTTTGAGTGGGGGTGATTGTAACACCCCTGATTAGTCCCACATCGAAAGTAGGCAAAGATTAAGATTGGCTTATAAGGGTCTGATGAGTGTACTACTATCAACTTCAGCTTAAGCATTTTGATCAGTGGTTTAGATCAAACGAAATTGATAGGCTAGTTATCCCATCAGGCTCGGGTCATGACAATTTCAGTATGATTATTCATGAACAGCTGCAGCAATGTATGACATTTTGTGGTGAAAACATTGGAAATATGTTACTGACAGCAGTACAGATTTTTGGAGTGTGAAATAGTTTCACTGCACTGGCCTTTGATAACTTCACAGTGATTGGTGACCTGTTGATATGTAAGAGTTTTGTGTGGGTATTGGAGTCTCAGTAATCTGTAAAATCATAGCTGTCATGGGCTTTATAGCAGGTAGTTATAGAGCAAATACAGCTTCTCATGAAGATGCAGATATGATTACAATATATATGCATATATATAAAGATAAGATTACAATTTGAAGGACAGGATTATAGGAAAAATGATTTGAATAAGAAAGATACATATATATGGTACAACAAGGGGCGCTTGTAAAGCATATTTTGGGCCTCAATGCTCAGGCTTAATTTACTACTTTATTGTAACAAGGTTACTGAAAGTCTGAAACATCAGCAGACACTAAATGTCAGCAGACATTAAATGTCAATCGATGAGAATGGGCCATTATTTATTCGCACTCTACTTTTTGTTGTCTTAATCTAATACCAGATCACAATGTGCTATTATGTCATTACAACAGTTCAATATCAGCCTCCACATGTTCCCTATTGCATCCATGATGAAATATGGAAGGGTAGAGCATTAAATGATCATACTTGCAAATTTTGTTGGTCCATCTTGTAAACTTTGTTGTCTTCAATCCTTCGTAAGCTATCTCTGTGACCTTGACATAGTTGTGCTCTGTATTGCTTTGCTAATTCTTTGTGACTGATCTAACTCATGTGAAGTGTTGCTTTAGTGTTCACAAAAAAAATCTCTGACTCTTTCTTGGTGAGGGCCTTTCAAATCTTAGTTTTGATTAAAAAAAGTTGCTTAAGAATGATTTCTAGCTATTAGAGATAAATGGATTTTTAGATTGTGCTGAGTGATTTAGATGATTCTTGACTCAGAACCTAGTAAAAACCATTTTTCTGCAGTTCTTCACTGAAAGCCATGGTTTTTCATAGTGACCTAGTGTCATTGGATGTCTAGTTTAGCATACCTAAAATCAGATTTGTCTCATTGCAATAAATAGCCTCTCATGTCAGGAAATCTATGAGAGTCATGAGATTTTTTTTCTTGTACTTCAGGTAAATAAGTATTATGATCTTGCCACAAGCTTTTACGAATTTGGTTGGGGAGAATCATTTCACTTTGCCCCCAGGTACGCATTAGCAGTAACTTGCTGAAATTAATTCAGCAGTAGAATGAAAATTTTCTTTACTGTCTATATTACTCCATGTTTTCTAGGGTACTAAAAACACTGATTTTGTGGTATATTTCAAAAGATGGAAGGGAGAGTCACTTCGTGAAAGCATTAAGCGTCATGAACACTTCCTTGCTTTACAACTTGGGTTGAAACCTAGGATGAAGGTATTAGTCATTTTATGTTGCATTCGAATCTAATTGAATAGTTTGTGGTATGGACAATTTTACAATCATATATAAGGTTTTCCTTGTGATGTAGGTGTTGGATGTGGGATGTGGAATTGGTGGGCCTTTACGAGAGATTGCTAGATTCAGGTAAATTAATCTCTTTCAGAATTTTTCACGTGTTGAAATTTTGTTCATATTTTATCAATATTACAATTAATCAAATAAATGTATTTAAGAATCTTTATATGATAATCATATTTTTATCTTTTTCTTTTGCTTCTTTACTGAGATCTGGACTTCTTGGGTCTGGTATGTTTTACAAATCTTGATCTAGCTTTAGTATGAGCCAAGATATGGCTGCTTCTTGTTACTGCTGCTGCTGTTCATACTGTTTAGGTGGTAGTACTTCTCTTCTCACATGCTCAAAATGTTACATCACGGTATATAGTTCATTCATGATATGGTACAGAAACTGCAGTTACCATGGTATTTTCATTTTAATCTTCCAAACTATTTTAATTTCCTCATATTTTAATTTGTTATGAAAAGTGTTATACAAAATTGATGCATTAGGGTGGTCAATGCTTCCCAAAGCCACTTTGACATACACCTGGTCAAACATCTATATAGTTAAAATATATTAGATGATAATATTATCTAGTGTTTAACATAACTGGGAAGGTAATTTGTTTACATCAAAAGACTTGGTTGGTGTTTTAAAATGTGCGTCTGACAATTCAAGGGACTAGTTAGGATAAGCTGACCTTCATTATATGGAAAATGTCTCACTTCTCTCCGTGTACTTTGATACTGTTGAACTTGAAAGGTGAAGACATGAACACTGTACTTAAGTCTTTTGAGAAGCTGGTATCAAGATTATTGGCATTGACATCAACTAGTTGGTGGTAGGAACATTAAAGTGGCTTAGGCCACATGAAAGAACAAATTAAAAGCTTTCCAGATTTATTATTCTATAATGTTTGTTACATCAATGTCAATGGCAACATCCCAGTTTCCTCTTTTAGTTTATCCCTTCGTTGTACACAGTTGTGCAAACAGCTTGCTTATCATTATTGCTGGTTCAAGGATCTTCAATGAAATCCTATATATGCCCTTCTGAAACAAATTTAGTTGAGACAGCCGGAGATATGGAGAAGGGGAAAAATGAAAGATTCCCAATATATTCCAATACTAAATTATTTCTACTTTCCCTTACTCATCCTATTGAATCTACATATAAATAGCTAAAAGTCCAGCACAACCATATCCACTTGCAACACAATGCAATTTCTCAGTTGTGATACAACTCTTTGTGGCTTGCAACCAGTAAAATTTGCCTGCTTCGCAGCTCAACCTGAATTCCCAAATATGCAAATTGAAGCGAGTTTACATATTTTTTGGGATGTCATGTTGCTTCAGTTGAGTTTCTGTTTGGATGGTATGATACTTTGTCTCTTCAGTTGCCTAAGTAGTTGGACAACCACAAGTCATAAAATATTGGAATTGTGAATCTCATAGACTCATCATACAGTTTCTTCATTTAATATATTAATATATGAATTCTTAATCTCTAATAGTTTAGATATATTGTTTTGCATATAAATTTTTTGTTTATGAGATTTTATTTTTCTTATGTCATCACTTTTAGGGTACCCTGTAGATAGGAATGTACCTCGGAGTTGCCACATTAGCTTCATGTCTACTGAAATGGAATAATGCACTTGTAATGACATAATACATGTGAATTTTTGCAGCTCAGCATCCATTACAGGATTAAACAACAATGAGTATCAGATCTCAAGGGGAACAGTAAGTGCATATCTTTTGGAATTTTGTGCATTTAAATGACATCATTGAAAATCCATAAGTCCAGATTTGTGTAAGTTGCTTATTTGGCAGGAAGTTGTTTTCATCAATCTCATCATTTTTTTGTCATAAAATAAGATAATTATAGCATAGCAATATGACCATTCTTAACCTGTTTCTTTCCCCTACAAATTTCTTTCTGCAGGAGCTTAACCGCATAGCTGGATTAAGTGAGTCATGCAACTTTGTTAAGGTCTGTTCTCCATGTTTTTATTTCCAAAACTCATTTCCATTCAAATTTTATCCTAGGACTACTATGAATATGTATGTGCTCTTTTAAAATACCATTATAAAATTGATAAGGTATGTTGCTTATGACAATCATACAAGATTACACAAGTTAACAGTAGCATGAGTGCTGAGAAGTGCTGTCACACAACTGCAGGCTGACTTCATGAAAATGCCATTTTCTGATGACACATTTGACAGTATCTATGCAATAGAAGCAACTTGCCATGCGCCAGATGCAGTATGTTCTTTTATATGCTTGTCTGTGCTACTGTACGTCTTAATTATATTTAATCATGAGCAATGTTGGATTTGTGAATTGAGCAGGTTGGCTGCTATAAGGAGATCTATAGGGTGTTGAAGCCTGGTCAGTGTTTTGCAGCATACGAGTGGTGCATGACCGACCATTTCGATCCAAATAATGAGAGTCACCAAAAAACCAAGTCTGAAATTGAACTTGGCAATGGTCTTCCTGATATAAGGACTACAAGAGAATGCCTTGATGCCCTGAAGCTTGCGGGGTTTGAGGTACAAAGAAACTGCATGCTCTTTCATCAATCCATGCGAGCCCCGTTTGCCATTTGTTAATATGCTCATTAATTGCCCTTCTTAAGGTTGTATGGGAGAAGGATCTTGCGGTGGATTCTCCTGTTTCTTGGTATTTACCACTTGATACGAGTCGGTTCTCAATAACTAGCTTCCGTTTGACGGCTTTTGGGCGACTCATCACTAGAACTATGGTACTTATCTTCCATTTTCCAAGATTTGGTTGCAGTTCGAGATGTTTGCTCGTTCGTTGCAGTAAACACTTGCTTGCTGCTTAATTTTGCAGGTTAAGACATTGGAATTCATGGGTATTGCTCCGGAAGGAAGCAACAGGGTTTCGTCGTTCCTAGAAAAGGCAGCGGAGGGACTCGTGGAAGGTGGAAAGTACGAAAAATTGAATTAGATGAGATATTACTTTTATCTTTCCTGCATTCCATCATTGAGAAATCAGTAGTGAATATTCCAATGTCTATTAACCTTTCAATTTGTACAATACTTGCAGGAAGGAGATATTCACACCAATGTACTTCTTTGTGGCTAGGAAGCCTCTTTCAGGTAGCTGAGAAATGCCAGAAGCATGTTTTTGATTGCTGCAGAAATCATACCTCTCCTTGTTTGGACTGTTGAAGAAATTGTTCTTGAACTACTTTGATTTATTGTTGAACATGGCAATACCATCATTTATCATATCCTTTATGATTCCTTGTTCAAGATTCTTCAAAATGTGTTCTCCATAGTTGAAGTTTTAGCTTAAATTTAGCACATCTTTTCTTGTCAATCTTTATACTATCCTGAGAAATCCCAGTCTCACGAATATGGTTCTCTAGATCTGGTTCAGAGACTCTTCCTTCATATGATTTGCTTATACTGTAACATGTTTACTGAGCAAGTAACCCAAAAAAAAAGTATTAATTAAGGGTTATAATTAATTTTCAACGAGTTAATAGTCATTAACTAAATTATTAATCTAAGAATGGCGTCACTCCAACTTCAGATACGTGTGGGTCCCGCGTCTTGTCGTTACTCATGTCGTGCGGATCCCGAATCATCCGACGACTTGGGGCACCGTTGGTTCACACCGACGTTCATACTCGTAACTTGTGTCGCGTCAATAAGCTGCTATAAAACATAGCGCGTGAAGTGGCGAACCGTCGCTCGCGGCGGAGGGTGAGCGACTCAATCCACAGACATCGGAGCCCGTTTCTCCCGTTCATCCACCGACGTATACCCCACGCTACTAGTCTGCTTCCATCTCCCCCTCGAAGACCTTCGACTACCGAAGCCTTCACCCGTACCGGACATATCGGGGTAGGGCGAGCAGAGGGATCGAATCTACTGCGAATCAATTGATTCGTTCGGTTCTGATCCCTCTCCGCCGATCTCCATGCTCGAATCACCTCCACAACGGGATCCAGACAGCCAAGATCGTCTGGTCCCGCGTGCCCAGCTCCCAGGAGGGCGAGCCTGCCGAGGTCGAGTTCGCCAGCAGGAGCCACGGCGGCGCCGGCGCCGAGAGCCTCGACTACGAGGTGATCGAGAATTACGCCTACCGAAAAGAGCAGGTAGAGTTTGCCCTAGGTATCTAGTTTTACGCAGAAGGAACAAGATCCGGGACGAACTTATTTGTGGATGCCTGATCTTAATTTAGCTCTTTTGTTCTTGCAGGCGCAGGGAGGAAAACTCTGTGTTTCGTATTATGTGGTCCTCAAATGGTTGTTCTCTTTAGTTATTGGCATCGGTAAGTGACTTCTTGTGGAAATCAAGTGAATGGATTCTCATTTGCCGTTCCTAGATTATCTTGGCGATGCAAATTTTTTTGATCCTTATCAGATAGTTAGACTCATGCTGGTTATAATGCGGACAAGAGCGTTCATGTGATTCATCATTGTGTGATTATTGAAACGGATGGGTATTGTAGATCTTTTTCTGCAAAGGACAGACATCCCCCCTAGCAGAGAATAGTTGGAGTTGAATATTGTAACAAGCATACGTGATTTCACCTATTGCTCAAGATGTCCGTGAATTGCAATTACACTTCACGAACGGCATAAGTGGAGCTCCGGTCAGATTGTTCTTTCTAGTTCATGCTTGTGAAGCTTACTTGATATAGCATGAAATCTATGGATTTCTGCTAATACCTCACTATCCATTATTTTTTAAATTAGATCTTTTGAACAAATTATGATCTTCAAGCTCAATGCTTGGGCCAAGTCATTGTTGCAAATTGTGCTCATTAGGTCCAGACCATGTACAAGTAGGCTAGGTTTTGCATCTTATAGGGTTTGAGAATTTGATATATTTTCTTGTTATTTTTTCATTATTTCAACATTGTTTGTATGGGCTACGTTAGACAACAACTAAATGTAATAAGTGCGTATTACTCTCTGCATTAATGCTGGGATTAGGATTCCTGAAATGGAAAGCAAATCTACCCTAATGATTCCTACCTGCTTGTAATAAATTAGGGTTCTATCTTTTGGGAGGGTGGATGGTTTAGGTAATCATAGGGGTCATGATTGCTGTATTCCTGAAGTGCATGTGAATCAATTTGGGAAACATAAGTAATTATTTGGATTCAGGCCCTTTGTTGTCTCATTTGTGGTTTCACTTTCATCACTCTTTTTCTTGCTGTTTCTTTTTTATTTGTAAATCTGCAGCATAGATGTGGAATTATATTGTTATTATTATTTAGTTGCCTTGGTGAATCTTTTGTTTATTTATCAAAACTTTAACTTATTTATATCTAACTTGACGTAGGCATGATTCTAGAAAGCGTCAATGCATATATTGGGGTATGGAATGATTTAAAACCTGAAAATAATGAAGAAAAAATTTCAAACAGAAGATTTGATGCAAACTATTGATCAATGGTCTATTAATAAACACAATCAAGGCAGACGTTGAAACCCAAGAAAAAAGTGAGCGAGATAGGAAAAAGAACAAGGGGCATTCTTTTCATTAATCATCTAAAATTGAAAACATAAAGTGTTTTCCTTTGTTATTACTCTTATGGATTTATATACTTTCCTGGCTCTCTGTCTTTGTTTACTTTATTCATTTTTTCTCTCTTTTCACATCTTTGCTATTTATAGCCAGGCAATACAGCAAAACCTGTATGTGACACAAGGTTAAAGGTGTACTCCTGCCATTTTACTTCACTTTGAACTTCATTAACTTCCCAGATTCTATCTACTTATTGGTGGTGATGTGGATAAGCTATACATAAAACCCTCTTCGAATATTGATCCAAAAATATGCTAAGATCAAGCTTGTAAAACTCTCAAAAATGTGATTAAGCAATAAAAATATAAAACTTATAACAAGGCATATCAAGCGGACTGATTGGTCTTCACAATCTGTGAATGTTAAAAGGTTAAACACATCAATGCTACGACATGAGTGATATTAGACCTATACCAATGACTTCCACTGTCATTATTTTCTTGATGATAGCAATGACGAGGCACATCTATCTGATTGCTTCTGAATTTGTTGGTCCAATATGATACCTTTGGGTATACTTAAAGATAACCAACTTGTTAACACTCGAAGTAGAACTCAGTAAGTAGTACTTGATCTTACATAAATATCCAGGCTTGTATCATTGGTTTAGTTATATTGCAACATGAGACAAAAAGGGGCATGCACTTTCTGGTTTGTATCCTGCTGATGCCTGATCATAGTGAAGGAAAAAAATTAGTATTTTTTGTGTAATTTTTAGTTTTGCTCCCTGAAATTTGTCTTCAGGTATGCTCTACTTGGTGCTGCTTCTTTCCTCAGAGGTCCAATGCGAATGACTGTTTCCTTATGTGTCATTATGGTTGAAATCACAAATAACTTAAAGCTCTTGCCTCTTATCATGCTTGTTCTTCTAATATCAAAGGTATGCATTTAGTGATATCTTCTCTTAAGCCTAAGGTGCTAAACCTACTTCTCTCAGGCTGTTGGAGATTTTTCTAACAAAGGTCTTTATGAAGAGCAAGCCCAACTGAGGCATTCCTCTGCTTGAATCAAGGCCAAAGCAATATTTGCGTAACAGGGCAGCCAAGGAGGCATGCAAGAATCAGAAGGTTTCAGCTACTACTAAGATGTAGGAAAATAAAGATACAATTTCTTATTCAGATCTTTATCTAACATATGGTTGCCTTTGTGTTGAAAGGTTGTATAATTCCCTCGTTTTGTTAAAGTTAGAGATATCATCTCTGTGTTATGGAGCAACAAGCACAATGGCTTCCCAGTGAGTCAGAACCGCAGTAAATTGTCTATATACTAAGCTTGCTGATTACTGAAGCTATTTCACATGGTTTTACATTAAGGTGATAGATCATGAACAGAATGGAGAGGCGCTTGTTATTGGTCTCATCCTTTGCAGGTAAAATATATGCATCATCTCAGACAAGTTTTAAAATTAACTAGTTAAATTGTGGTTCAAAATGTTATATATCTCTTGATTTTCCAGTCACTTGTTGGTACTTGTAAAGTTTAAGATGGATTTTCAGAACAGTCCTTTTCCTTGTGATATGTGGGGAGTATCCAACAGGTATGTAATCTTTTATTTTTAGTTCTTTAGATGTATTAGCTAATATGCAAAGTGACTGATTATTTCTTTCTTTTATAGGCAGAACTTCAGTGATTTTGTCAAAACTGTCTCAGGTAAAGGAATGTCCACAGAGGATATTCATCTAACTGAGGATGAACTGGAACTCTACTTAGATCTTGCCTCGTACTTAAACCCTGCCCCATATATTGTGCCAGAAGATATGTCTTTGGCAAAGGTTCATGAAGTTACAGATTTATCCATTTTGGAAATTGATTTAGCTTGTTGTGCATACTTCACCAATAGATCTGTCTACTCTACTTATGCCAGGTGTACAATCTTTTCCGACAGTTGGGCCTGAGGCATATATTTGTTGTCCCTTCCTTCTCATCTTATAGGTTTGGTTACTAGGAAGGATTTGTTAATTGAGGTATTTGGCTGACAGATTTGATCTTTTTGTATAACAATTAAATTGAACATTATGTACTGTGTTTTCATTTGGAATTCTGTGACGTTTTTGACACTTAAATGTTTTTTTGTTGAATTTTGCAGGAAAGTGATCATTCAGCAACCATGGAACTTTCATCAACTAGTGTAAGGTCTTGAGCTGCTTCACCTTAGTTATCCATGCTTTAAAAATTTTGATTTTTCCTTTTCTTTCATGTCAAGTTTTTGTGATATATTTTACTATCAATGACCTAGCTATAGTTGTCCTTTGAATGACAGTTGCACAAATAGAGATATGGCATAAGAATATAAGACCACATGTAGTTTGATACTTAAATTCATTAAAGAATTAGGATTTGAGACTCCGATCATATATTTAGTGTTAGTTTATATATATATATATTTGTGTGTGTGTGTATATATATATATATAGAGAGAGAGAGAGAGAGCAGCTCTGATTCTATCATGACAATCCATCTGATAGGATGTTAGCTCGGTATATATATGTATACATATGTATATGGATGAATGTATCAATTGCATAATGTATGAAAGGTTTGATTTTTTTAATGAAAAATCTATATGTGCAATCTAATGGATAAGTTTTTGATTAATTGATGACACAATCTTGTCATCTCCTTCTACCTAGATTAAATTGATCTGGATATATTTATGCATTATTAGGCATATTCTACTGTTTTTTGTTTGTTAATATAAAGTAACTTAAGTTGCTGCATCATCTTAGGCACATCAATCTCACATCATTTACATCAAGCACATGGTGTAGTTTCATGGTAAAAGCTGTATAAAGCATCTGCTAAACTGCCATCCGAATTGTAAAATGTTCTCATCCATTTGTTGTTTAGGAAGAAAATTAGATTAAAATGATTATTTCACAATAATTTATGCTTCATTGATTCTCAAATTAGACTAAAGCATTAACCATTATCTGATCTTACAAGGGTCTGACTCAGGTTTTAGTGTCGTACGTTCTATCTGAAGTTGTAATGTCTTAGTGCCACCCAAAATCTGATGCATTTGATTACTTGTATGCCGAAAAAATGTGATTTCTCACCTACATTGTGTAATTAATTTTAGAATGCACCAACAAATTAAGCAGTGCAGTGGTGGTGTCTTATTCACACAAGGTAAAAAGCCTCACTACCCGGTATAAGTTTTTGACAAAAAGGTTTATGACTGAATTCTTCAATGCCATGACCTATATATAAGCATGTGAGTTGTACTAAACTTGGGGGTTGTGATTCTTCAGAATTATGACATCTGTTGTAAGTGCAGAGGGCCATAGGCAATGAACCTACTGGTAAAATGTCAATCCCAGTATTTAGAAGAGTCCAGTCAATCAGTGGCGCAATGTCTCATTGTTACATTTGATGCCTAGATGTTTTATTGATCTCAGTTCATGGTATCAACTTTAATCATAGGTGTTTCTGGCATGCAAATTAGTTTTACATAATTGATGAGGAATATTGAAGTGTTATTGTGGAAATCGTATGCCAAGTATTTATTATACATAAAAAAACCTTCTTCTTACTCTTGTATGCTAAATTCTTTTCTTTGTTTCCCTGTTGCTTTCTAGAGCTCAGCATCTAGATAGAAGAACAATTGGTGGACATACACATCCAGAGCACCCTCTTCTTGATAGTCTTCTCATCCAGGAATAACAATTCAGTGATTGTGGACTTGGTGCTCTTGCTTGTAAGATTTGTATTGAGCATTTAAAGCGAGTCATCATATTGATAACATCTCCATCTCAAATATTTTTAATCTTAAAAAAGAGAGGTGGTTTACGTTGTTCAGCCACGTACTGTAATCTAAGAGCAGTATTCGGTATGCCCTGTCGTAATTCTACGTCAGGATGTCACCCTACGTACGTTCTCCTCCTTTGAACATGACGACCCATCACATCATTTGTCTAACTAGGATAAGACAGCACGCATATCGCACTTTTGTGTGACAGCTTTTGTGAAAGGTTGGGCGAGCAAACCACGGAATCTGTGGACAAAGTGTGAAGTGATATCATGGAAAGCTCGCCTTTTATTTGGTATATTGACGGCTCATGTTGACTAATGTTGTTCACTGACCCCAAAGTCAATCGTTGGTCAACATTTGACGTCCGAGTTCCTTGTCGGCTTCTCCTACAGCGTTCGAGATCGGGAACTAAGAAGCCTTGCGAGTCAAAGCCTCCTCCAAACCAGATGTAAAAGAAATATTTCTTTTTATTATATCGTTCCTTATTTAATAATCTTAAAAAAAAGTATTTCTTGCTTTATTTGTAACAGTGTCCATTTTATATTTAATTATACCGTGTTTTCATTCATTAGAAATAATAAAAATAATTTTTCCTCCAAGACTTGGGTTACAGTAGTGTGAGTTGTTCTATCAGGAAGCCGTTCACAGAGCATGCAGAAAAATCCATGTGAATGCATCAACCGAAACACCTACCAAAAATCCACGCCACGTGATGCTGCATGACCATCATCTACTCTCTCGGTCAACCTTTACTTACGTCTTCGTGATCAAGATTCCCACAAACACAGGTGCAAAGTGCCCACATCACCCCCTTGTATTATAGCTAATAACTTCAACGTGTTCTAAACCACGCATTTTTTGGCGAGCCGAGGAAGAGCCGTCGATTGACCGTCCATCTGCAGGAGGAAAGCCGCCGTCGGATTCCTCCACGAGGCGAAATCCCAGCCGTTGCGTGGTGGAAATTTCATACCCTTCCCTTCATGGCGTCTGTCTATAAATCGTAAGGCACAGCGGAGTCTTTCGAACTTAGCTTGGCTTTCTTACTCAGTGAGAAGCGTTAACCTTCACCACAAATCCATCGAGCCCTCCTCGTCGCAATCTCCTCTCTCTCTCGTCCACCATGGCCGGAGGCTTCTCCGTGTCGGCGTCGGCCGGCAGCCAGTTCGAGGCGAAGATAACGCCGGTGGTCATCATCTCCTGCTTGATGGCTGCCACCGGGGGTTTGATGTTTGGCTACGACGTCGGTATCTCAGGCAAGAACTTGTCTCGCTCTTCCTTGTTAGTTACGTGAGATGAGGCAGAGATGGTGTTGACTTTATGTCACTCTCTTTTGCTGAATGAAGATATATAGAAACACAGACCTTTTTCTTTTCTTTTCGTTACAGTAGTCTTTGAAGGATAAACAAAAGGACTACATGCTGAAGAAACAGTTTTTTTTACCTTTTGCTGAAGAAAAATGACATAAAAAAAGATGAAAACCATTATCAATGATAATAGATGAGATTTTTCTAACTGTACGAGAAAATTTTGCTACTCATTTAAAGAAAATTCTCTTTTTCAACGTATATAAATAGATACTATATCAAATTAATTATAATGTACGTTTTACTTTTACACTTCATTCTATCAAAGAATCAAAGTGATGCCCACGTTCATAGACAACAAAGTATAGTAAGTAAATTAGCACCGGTGGTGCTTGCCCCGTTACTACAAGGTATTAACATACTCATTAGATTCTTATAAATCAATCTTAATTTTAATCATGCTTGATTAAATCAGAATATTACATACATAAAACTCTATCTAATGATCGTATTAACAGGTGGCGTGACCTCCATGGATGACTTCTTGATCAAGTTCTTCCCCAAAGTCTACCGTCGGAAGACCGAGTCCAAAGACAGCAACTACTGCAAGTACGACAACCAGGGCCTTCAGCTGTTTACCTCCTCGCTCTACCTCGCCGGCCTCACTGCCACCTTCTTCGCTTCCTACACCACCCGCAACCTCGGCCGTAAGCACACCATGTTGATCGCCGGCGTCTTCTTCCTTGTGGGAGTCATCCTCAACGGCGCGGCGCAGGATCTCGCCATGCTAATCATCGGCAGAATCCTCCTCGGTTGCGGTGTTGGGTTTGCCAACCAGGTTAGTACTCCGTAGGTTTGACTGATAATTCCTTGCGCAAGTTCTTGCTTCGGGAATCATATGTACCTCAGTCCATGCTCATCCAACATCGGACACACGGATGCAGGCCGTTCCCCTGTTTCTGTCGGAGATTGCACCCACCAGAATCCGTGGAGGCCTCAACATCTTGTTTCAGCTCAATGTCACCATCGGCATCCTCTTCGCCAACCTCGTCAACTACGGAACTTCCAAGTACCACCTCCACACCTTTCTCGTCACCCTGTCGCTTGAATCTACGATATGACCCTGGAACAACACCCTGCAGGATTCACCCTTGGGGATGGAGACTGTCCCTCTCGCTGGCCGGCGTCCCGGCGCTGCTTCTCACCGTGGGGGCGCTGTTCGTGGTGGACACGCCCAACAGCCTCATCGAGCGTGGGCGGCTCGAGGAAGGCAAGGCGGTGCTCAAGAAGATTCGCGGGACCGACAACGTGGAGCCGGAGTTCAACGAGATCCTGGAGGCGAGTCGCGTTGCGCACCAGGTGAAGCACCCCTTCCGCAACCTTCTCAAACGTCGCAACCGTCCTCAGCTCGTCATCGCTATCCTCTTCCAGGTAGAAGACTACCACTGTTGGCTTTTCCTGGCAGCTGCAGGTAATCGTCAGACTAATTCGTTGCTTCTTTCTACGTCGACAGATCTTTCAGCAGTTCACTGGAATCAATGCCATCATGTTCTACGCCCCGGTGCTCTTCAACACACTGGGGTTCAAGAGCGACGCCTCCCTCTACTCCGCGGTGATCACCGGCGCCGTCAACGTGCTCTCGACGGTGGTGTCGATCTACTCGGTGGACCGGGTAGGGCGGCGGATCCTCCTCCTGGAGGCCGGGGTGCAGATGTTCATCTCCCAGGTGGTGATCGCGATCGTGCTCGGCATCAAGGTGACCGACCGCTCCGAGAACCTGAGCCACGGCTACGCCATCTTCGTGGTGGTGATGGTGTGCACCTTCGTGTCCTCGTTCGCCTGGTCGTGGGGGCCACTGGGGTGGCTCATTCCCAGCGAAACCTTCCCGATGGAGACGCGGTCGGCCGGGCAGAGCGTGACGGTGTGCGTCAACCTGCTCTTCACATTCGTCATCGCGCAGGCCTTCCTCTCGATGCTCTGCCACCTCAAGTACGGCATCTTCGCCTTCTTCTCGGGGTGGGTGGTGGTGATGTCCGTCTTCGTGCTCTTCTTCCTCCCCGAGACGAAGAATGTTCCCATCGAGGAGATGACGGAGAAGGTGTGGAAGCAGCACTGGTTCTGGAAGAGGTTCATGGACGACGACGATCGCGTCGTTGATGTTGACGACAAAAAATACACACAACCATAGGATATATATAAGCTCTGTCTCTTTAGGTTCCTTAAGGTCTCCTCATCTTCGTCGGTTCTCACCTCACACGAATGACACGATCATATTGTAGTAAGGGATGAATATAAAGATTAGCAATTGGTGTTGCTACGTTTTGCAGTGTTGTCCAGCATTTACAACGTTCCTTCTCTCACAAGCCATTTGCTTAATCCGTGATCGAAGGATGAGATGCTATCGATGTCAAGCCGGGAAACATGTAAATCACCCAATTAAAATAAAAAAAGAAAACCCAAGTTTTATTGTTTTTCTAGTAGAGCATCGGGGAGCATTGTCATCGCTCTATTGTGATCGCCGCGTATGCCTCATCATGTGACCCCATCATCTCCACTCTCATCCTCGTTCGTCCCCTATACCCTCCCTCTCGTCTACCATCATTGTCGTCACCTTTACTCTTATCCTCGTTTGTCTCTCATCTCATCATCTTCGAGGAGGGCATTCTCAGTCTTATAGATTCCGAGACCCCCATGCTAAAGGAGCATGTTCTCGTCCATTTTAGTCTAACGCTTGCATCTATCACCATCACTCAATTAAGAGAGCATAGAAACAGGCGATGCCTAACACGGTGGGCCATGCGAGGGAAGAGGAATGCGAATCTCCATTTGACTATCTCCTCCTTTGCTAAGGTCGATGATGGGGCGGAGGTGGGGCCTTAGCAATACCTCGACAACGATGGATAAGGACGAGGGCAAGAGTGATTATACAGAAGCGATGGATAGTAGAAATGATCATGGTGGGACGACAAGACCAGTAGGGTGGAGGTAGCGAGTGGTGACGAGAGGGTGGAGAGAACCATAATGGGGTGACGAGAAAAATTGATACGATGAAGATCAAGGATAATTTTATTTTTTAAAAAATAAGATAAATTATGTAGAAATAAATCAAGAAGCAAAATATAAATAAACCAAAAAGGGGGCATATGGTGGAAAACTTAAAACTTATGGGTTTTGTTATTAGGATTTGGTGATATATGATATCTAAACTTAATGTGTTTTGATCAATCTAGAGAAAATATTTTTATTTCTGAAATATATGAAAGACCATATATAGTCTTGGGATTTGAAATGCTACTCAAACTTGTTTTAAGAAAAAAAACTTAGGCAATTTATCGAAAAAAAATTCCTATAGCTTTTATGAGATAACATCTCATATTTGATTTTTTATCGATGGATATTTTTTGATGAAAATATCATCAATGAAATCATAAAAGTTAATTATTATACTTGATTAAGTCTGACTTAATTTTTTTAAGATTGATTCAACTAAACTCTAACTATTTAATTGATTTAATTAAATTCTAAAGAATCCATTTAAGATTGATTCAAGTTACCTTATCTCCACCTTCACTCTACCTCCTCCTCATCCTCCGTCTTCTCCTACACTATTGCCTCCTTCCTATCCCTATTGGCTTTCTCCTCCTCTCCTTTTTCCCTTAGCCTTCTCTACCTCTGTCTCCTCCTCTCCAGCTTCATGTCCAATTCCGCATTCTCCCACTCCAACTCCCTCATCCTGCACCCACATCAAACTCTAACACCATCTCCTCCTCCCATTCCGTCACCTTCTCCCCTGTCCTCTTCTTCCCCCTCTCCCTCCTCTTGTTTCTCTTCCTCATCCTCACAATTTACCTTAAAAAGAAATTACCCTCCAGTTACACTTAACTACATATTTAACATAAAAATATACTATGTTAAAAATTGATCATCCTAAATTTATATTAAAAAAAAGTGATATAAATATATTATATCTCATCCTAACAATTCTAGAAAAGTTTAGATATCAGGAAAAAATATCGTTGACGTCTTGGTCAGCTCGATTTGATTCAGACCCGTGTATATAAAAATATCCAAGAGATACCTAAGATAAAAATATTGTGCTCTCGAGATGGAAGTATTGCACTCTCAGGATGCCACCTGGACGAAGACCAAGGTCGAGGGAGGTTTCTCAACCTGCCCCCTTTGACACTCAAATTGATAATATGAGATTCCTAAATGTGGGCTCAAGTAATTCAAGAAAAGAGAGAGTTCCTTGACATGTTCTTGTTAAGAATATATTTTTATACATCGAAGGAAAGGAAGAAAGTTTATGATGATTTTTTTTTCATAAAAGAAGATAAGGGGGTTTAGGATTATCTTTTTTGTCATAAAGGGAGATAAGAAAGTTTGTGATTTCTTTTCTTGCCATAATGAATGAGAAGAAAGCTTGTATTTCTTTAATTTGAATCTTTATACATGCAAGTAGATGAAGGATGATATTGATCTTGTATGGCAATCGAGTGTCCGACCGAAGGCATACTTTGAGGTGCTTACAAGATGGGTTCGAAGCACGTCATTCAATTTTTTCAACATGGGAGTATTTGTGAACTAATTCTATGGGTTGAGTTTTTTCGATTTAGGTGTTGTAGGCACATTGAGCATGTATTTCTATTATAGCATATTTCTTTTTACACGGGTCAGGTTTTCTTGACTCGCGTCTTGGGCGTGTTTGCCCTTGCACATCCGTTGTGATGGATTTCTCTTCACGCGGGTTGAGTTTTGTTGACTCATGTATCTCGGACGCATTTGGTCTTACGCCTTCATCGTAACGGATTTATCTTGGCACGGGTCGAGTTTTCTCGACTCACATGTCTTGGGTATATTTAGTCTTACGCCTTTGCCATAGTGGATTTCTTTTTACGTGAGTCAAGTTTTCTCGACTCATGACTGAGATAGTGGCATTGCCATTGGGCTAATTGAGGTAGGAGCAATGCGATAGCTTGGATCATGTCGGTCAGCGTCTGCACCTGTTGGATGAGATTTTGAAATGCCTCAGCAAGGACAAGTAAATGGCTTAAGGTCATCCTCGAGTATGAAAGGCTTGGGTCATTGAATATACGCCGGTACTATGCCGATGTTTGTCTCAAAGTAGACACGTCCATGTGAGGGAAGGACGAAAATTGTCCCCTTTGAGTAAAAGTATAGTGGGTCAGAGAAGGGCTTGCGTTTTATCACGGAGAAAATTATAAATGAGATATTTGATGTAATGCTCATTTATTTATATGTCTTTCGATTTTGTTAATGTTTTGGACGATATGTAAAGGGTCGATAGTAAGAATATTATTGATTTCATATATCTATAACTTAACACAATCTAACTTAAGAATATTATTAAAATTTTAAAATAAAAATATTCTTAGGTAAAAATCAATTACTAGCACACCATCTAATAAAAGCCAACACTAAAGGGCTTTTTATGATAAATTGGCCGCCCACCCCACCCCCCCCCCCCCACACCCAAATACACTTCAAAGCGAAAGACAAAAAAAAATGAATTGATTTCTTGGTTTCACAGACACTCATCCGTCTTGCCCGAGTACGTGACAAGTTGTTCACCCTCACTCTCCTCCGTTCATCGACCTCGGACCGAGAGTGTAGTTCCATGGGATGCTGCGGAGGAGACGAGGACGACGACCTCGTCAAGCAACTCCTCCCCCCGGACTCCGACCCCGGCGCTAACCCTAGTCCTGATCCCTTCCTCGCCTCCTCTTCGGAGGTGCTTTCACCCATGAACTCCAACTTCTCGGCCCTCGCCTCCAGGGACCTCCTCCGGGCTATCCTCGAGCTCCTGCCGCCCGCCGACCTCGCTCGGTCGGCGTGCGTCTGTCGGCTGTGGCGCGCCGTCGCCTCGGAGCGGGAGATGCTGGAGAGGGCCTTCAGGGCGCCCTGGAAGGTGCGGCGGGTCCTCGGTGAGCCGTCGTCCTCCGCCTTCTGGCACCACCTTAGTCTCGACCGTTTCGCCATCTCCCACCGGCTGCGTCGCGGCGACACTGTTGCCAGCCTCGCCCTCAGGTATTCCGTCCAGGTACACCCTCTTTGGCTCTTCTTCCGTAGATTCTTTTTTGGTTCTGTGGATGAATTGAGTAGTTATAACCTTCACAACATAGAATCGGGCAAGAAAAAGAGGATGCTTTTTCCTCCATTGATGGTGGGTTAATCTCTGCCCTAATCGCGTAGTGATGCATAACCCTTTTTGGGGTTCTGGGGTTTCGTTCAAAAATCGTGCCTTCAGTTCGGTTAATTGATATGCGACCCAAGCTAAAACTATCTTCCAACTCCTCGACTGTTTTCCGAAATTTTCTCTTCCTGTTCCAGTGTCTTTGCTTTCATCCACCTCAAACACTCCCCCATTGTCCTTGTTGGATTGGCATGAGTTATACTATTTGATTAAATGGAAGGTGGCATAATTGAATTGAATGCATATCTTTTACTTAACAAAGTTCTGAGATTTGAAAAGGCGTTTGAAGTGGATGATCAATAACCAAAATTGCAGGAGCAATTTTAGTCAACTATTATGATTAAGCTTTCGAAGGATGCTTCTTCAGTAACTCAGTGATCTTATAGGAAAGGACTACATAGTAAATGGGCCTCTTATAAGAGGCATCAAAGATTTATTTTTTGTGGAATCGGTATATGCTCGTAATGTATCAGCATGGTGGGTACCATTCAGTAATATTTGTCGACACGAGTTCTATATGAGGCTGAAGTACTAATCTTGGTCTTCGTGGAACCTTCTTGATATTTTGTTGGCATGTTTATCGGAATTTACGTCACGAGGACACATAAATTTAAGGCTACAAGATGATTATAAGCCTTTATCACATGCCATCTGATGAAGATGAAACTGGTGGCTAAATGGTGGAAGGGTTGTTACTGTTCAAGGCTGGTTATGATGTAATTACTTAAGGTTATATATTGGATGGGAAATATGTATTAAGGATTTTGCAAGTCAGATGTAGCATATGACATTGAAAACTGCATGAGCTTTGGCCAAAATTATGTGTATGTGAGGATCACCATTTTATAACTACCAAGTGATGTTGGCTTCAAGTCTTGAAAAAGAACTCTTAAGGCAGAATTTTGTTTTTTTTTGTTTTTCATTAAGCAATTCACTTAGTTATAAAGCAAAGTAGCAAACAACATGATTGGGTTTGTAAAATTGCTTCCCGGTTATTACTCCTAGTAACAGAACCTCGTTTTGCAGGTTTGTCCTTTTAAGCCTGCCGAAGTCCTTTATCTTGAAACTCGGCCTCTGCGAGTAGAATAAAGATGGTAGCAGTTACAGGATTGAGTTGAATATCAAGCAAATGTAAACTAGTAGTAGGACCTCAGACCAAATTCTTTTACTTAACAGAATATTTATGAGAAGGCTATTTATAGTGATCAAAAGCAGTAGCATTTCAGCATGCTGAAAAGTACTACACTCTGTTTCCTTCTGAAATAGTTTTCCAAACATTCCCCAGGATGAATCTGGTTGATAACCTGTGCGTTGCCGTGGACTTGAATATCATTATGTAGACCATTGACAGGGAGTTACTACACTGCCACAGAGTTGTTTTATTTTTGGCATAGCCACTATAATGTATAATTGTGTGGCTCTTGTTTGCAATTTCTTAGAGTACAGACAGTAAAGAGGAATTATCCGATACTTACTGTAGCTGTAGTAAAAGCATGATAAGAGGTTTCTGGCTGTAGCACTGACTCTACTCTTATTATATTCACGGAATTGTCTGTTTGACTGAGGTTTCATTTCAAACATGTTATTTCATTATCTTATGTGTTTTTGGTTTCGATCATTTCCAACAATGTAAACATGGCACGATAACATGACTTGAACCCAATATGATACTGGACAAAATTATTTGATCTAAAATCAACATGATACGAACACATGTAACAGAAAACAACAAATTAAGGCCAATTTAAAAATTAATCTAGTTACTACAATTTTTTGCTTAATTGAATATTTTTGGATGTAAACCCACTTGACATGGACTTAGACACGATCACGACTTCACATGACCCACTGAATCCCCATAAACCAAAAGGTTCCAGCAATTAATCAAATAGTGCTTCTTCATAATCTCTGCATAGGGTGGCGGTCATATCAGTGATAATATATATGTATATGTTCTCATGAATATTTAGATAATTAGATATACTCAGAGAGTTGATCTAGACAAGATGCTATTTTTTATATCCGTTATTTGGTACAGTTAATGTGACTTTCGCATAGTTATCTGTTTATTTTCTGTCTAAAAGGCATTCCTCTCTCTCAAGTTCCAACATTTTGCCTTTCTTTAGTCATTGATCGATCCCCTCCTCCCTTATGGCCCATCTTGGTTTCATGATGACATGCAATGAATTTGCTTGTGTTTGTAGGTTATGGGCATCAAACGATTAAATAATATGATGAGCGACCATGGGATTTACTCAAGAGAGAGACTACTGATCCCTATTGGCAAACCAGAGCTTCTTCTTAATAGCACCTGCTATGTCGAGATGGATGAACATGCACGAAGAGAAGTTGCAGTGCTGTATTTGGACGGCGGTCCTGATGGAAAAACCTGCAATCCAACAAACAGGGCAATTACAGAGAGAGGCAAAAGGAAGATACTCAATTCCGTGATACGCAGTCTGCAAGTGGATTATGGAACTGCAGAATTCTACCTGTCTGTCTGGAATGGTGATCCAAGGGCCGCTATGTCGCAGTTCACCGAGGACCTTAGGTGGGAGCAACAGACCATGAGACCTCGTTTGTTCGGGTGAAAAGGGAACAGAGTGGGGTGAAGTTGATGTTCTCCATTTCCTGCTTGTTCTCGTCTTTATAGAGTTCCGAGTCTATTGTCTGAAATGTTTCAATGCAGAATCCACATTTCTTTGATTGTGAAAGAGAGTAAAATCTTCCACAGATGTGAACTTAATATTATGTCATAATAGCATCAAGTTATTGGATGAAAGTGGTTCAAATGTCATGAGCCCCACTGACCATTTATTCCTTTACAATACGCAGCTGACGCATACATGGACAGGCAAAGAGGATGTGCGTCGCGTCAGCAACACAAAGGAAACGATATAATACAGCAGTATGTGCAATAAGAAGGCCCACTGACGACCGTAGCTTGCAGCAGCAAAGCTATGGTGATGGGGCGAGGTGGCGTGGTGACGGCGACTAAGCCCCGACTGGGTAGGTCGGTCTGATGGAATCCAAGTCACTCCTCATTGCTGTCGCGCCATGATCTCCACCTCTTTCCATTTCCAGCCCTCGCCAGATTTCTGGTACGACCTGCTTCAACCTGGAGATGCTATCCAACAAGTAATCTGCTTCCTTCGTCTTCACACGCTTCCCGACCTTGCAATGCAAGTGAATATAAGCAGACAATGGAGGAAGAGAGTTATCCTCATCTCCTACACATGGTCTGAACATAATGGTCTTTAAGGTATGCAGAGGCTTACCAAAGCAGTGCGAAGACCTGCTGCTTTTCCTGCGGCGATGTTCCTCTCGCTGTCGTCTACGAAGAGCTGATGCAAAAGTGACGTGAAGACATACGTCGAACTTGCTTGTCGGTAGACGTAATCGGATAGAAACAGAGCCGTAAAAAAGAGTAACACGCATTCCTACCGTGCGATGGGGGCCAAAGCCAGCAAGCCGCACGGCCATCTCCATTGCCGGAGCAGAGGGCTTGAGGATCACCTCTGGAGTCGCCACGGCCGGCAATGGCGGAGAGCTGTTGGCTCCTATCTCGTCCCCGAAGAGGTGGGGATTCATCGTCTCGAAGCAAATGATACGCCGGAAGCACCCTTCCTCGATGCCCAACCTCTGCAGCGCCCTCCTCGCGTGCTGCCTGTCCGAGTTCGTAAACAGCTGCAGCAGTATCCAAAGCAAATCGTTCGATCGATCGTCAACAACTTCACATTTGGAATTCAAACTCCGATATCGAACACGTACGATCTTGGTCTGGGGAATGCCGAGGAGAAGCTCCCGCAGCTCCGCGTCAGGCTTGATCAGTTCGTAGGGCAACCTTCCATGAACGTAGCTGAAGGCAACAAAGAAAGAAGTCAAGAACAAGATCATATCTACTGCTGTAACTTTGCAGATGTTGAATCGGAACAGACCTGTGGTACTCATCGGGGTGCACGTCATAACCGAGGGCCTGAAAGAAGACGAACAAACAGAAACAATTAACAGGCTCCTGCCATGATCAAGAAGTAGGCTTTACCGATGTACGAAGGTAGTCAGGGCAATACAATGAGGCCTGCGAGGGAGCTGCCGTAGGATCGAAAGAGCTCGACGCGGAGGGAGAAGGCTCTCTCTGCCGATATCCCGCATTTGAAGGCAAGAAACTCTGTCGATTCACACATGGTCAGACATCTCGATCGGATCATGCGAAGCAAAATGTGTAGCCGAGATCGATACCTTCAATGTTCTTCCTGCAAGCTTGCGCGATGCCAATGGTAGAAGAGTACAAGGTGTCATCAAGATCTGTGTCAAAGAAGGCGATCCTTTCTATTAGAAGCGTGGCAGGCAGATGCACACGGAGCAAGAGTTCAAATGGCGAGATTTACCCAATAACAGGCAATCGAAAGGGGAGTTGAGGCCACGAAGCGCCATCGCCACGAAAGAAAGACGACAGGAAGGCAAGCTGCGGATGTTGGACTGGCGAGAAGGAAGAAGAGAAGAAGCAGAGGTGCCCAGAGGCGAGGCGAGGGTTTAAAGGCGCGATGGCGTCGAAGTTGGTGGCGTCGGACGCGATAAGCTCGGATTAGGATATTTTCTTGCTTTGATTTGGACAGATTTGTTGACGGCGGATGCGGTCATAATATAATCAACCGACATCGTGATCTTATCTTAGCTGACTCATAGCACGCCTGAAACACGTGTGACAATCGCCTTACGTCAATCATTGTCCAAATGATTATTGTTTGACGACAGCAAGTTATGTGCACCTGACGTAGGAGATTAATAAGAGACTTCATAAAGTATCATCTGTTTGTGATATAGGTTGTGACACGGTGGATGATTGTCAATACTGGTATCACATCATCGATCATTATATTACTGGTATCAAATCAAAATACCTTCTTCACTTACTCGACATCTCAAACCCATTTGATTAAGATGATCTTACGGAATTGGCTACATTATACGAACTGAAAGTTACCTTAGTCGACCATTATTCTATGTTTTTTGAATTCGTCACTGATTTATGGTACTTATGACCAGATAAAATATCTAATTGTAATAATCTTGAATCTAATAATCTCATCCCTCACTATAATAATGTTTTCATGTGTACTTCCTTTCGATACAATTGTACTTGTATAAATTTGTACAATTGTACTTGTATAAATTTGACTTAAAAGATAGAATCTTCCAAGTAAGAATTAACTTAAGAATCAGAAGAGTTTTACTGGGCACGCCTTCAATATTGTTTTGTAAAATTTTATATTAGACTACTAATCATCTACATAGCAAAAGAGGATCCGAAATAATATTCACGTTTGACAACCAGTATCTGAATTAATAATTTATAATAAAATACTAATAATTAGATGGAAGAAAAATAATTATGATTTATGTAGCTTCAGAAAATTTAAATAAAAGCCGTAATCAAGGCACGAAGTATTAATGTATCAAAATCCCTAAATTTCTTAAAAATGTCTTCGTTCCAAAATTGATATATAAAATTCGTAAAACTAAAAACTGTATATATGAAAAATTATGTTACCTATCGTATATCCTTAAATCCTTACATATTTGTAGGAGAGGGTGAAGGAGATCAATCGTCCTCCTCTCCAGCGGTGATCCACACAACAAGACTATGACAACGTTCCTAAAATCTTCAAGCCTACTATTTGAGGAGGAGGAGAACAGAAAAGAATAAGAGATGATAACAAAAAACCTCTAGCCTATGGGTGTTTGGTTCCTTCCTATTTATAAAGGCCTCATGTCAACTTAAACCTAATGGATCTTACCCTATTGGGCATTGGATCTCCATCCAACTACCTAAGCATCTTAGATTAGTGAATCTCTATTCAATAATCTCTCTATTATAAAATCAAATAATTAATGGGCTTATTAGATATCCAATGAGATAGGGGCTCTAATGGATATCTCATATCCGAACCTCTACTCGTCGCAACGCCTACCATATGTGTATGACCCTCTAGGCCCAATATTGAGTTGGTTGTTAGTCATACATGTCAGAATTCCTTCCGTTAGTCATACATGTCAGAACTCGACTTATCGACTGTGGACGTACTATGCCACTACATCGTAATCTTCAAACGATACAGGAGAATCCAATCCATTGGATCTTTCTGTCCTCAGTTATCGTATATCTATAGTCCATCATCCATCTAATATGCTAGAGACCGTATACCGGATATTATACTTTTAGGCTCATATTGTTTCTTCTCGAGTCTTAATCTAATCGGATTCTCTCGGAGAACTCTTTTTCTCTTAATCCGAATGACCCTACCCAAGGATTTATTTGAGTAAGAACACATGAAATATTCCTCTCATGACACCAAGAGCGGATGATCCTTTATCGACACTCAATAACCCTCGTAAGATTGACTACCACTCCCGATAACTAGATGTGCTAGATCTGGAACCTCCAAACTTATAAGTCCGGTATCAATAAGTGAAGTGCTCATGTAGGACATCCTTGGTGTTTCAAATTTAAGAACTAGATAGATACCATTGGGACAACGAAATCGTTGTCTGACAATAAGGAATCATCAACCATCCAGCATTCCGTGAGCGGATCAATCAGTAAACTCATTCTCCAATGAGCACCTGCATTATATCCCTAATATCCTTATACGAGCAGCTATGATATCAACTGCATCCATCGTATGGACGGGTATATAATATACCAATTTGTCCGGTTATCTTGATGTCCCTCTCTTCTCGAGTAACCTATGATCGAAATTATTTAGGAACTGTGTTTAAAGATGAGTCGATCTCAAATGCGTATTAAGCCATAAATTTCATCACTCACGATTAACTTACACAGCACATCCACCTACTACTAATTACAGATTAGCGTGATGTCTCTCGGTCGCCATCCATTATCAATGACCGCATAGGACAGAAATACCACTACTTTTTTTAATATGCCACTTCACACGAAGGATTGTGATAGCATATGTCACGCAAAGATGTGACAGGAATGAGCATAAGATGATGATGAAGCATGATATGTAATCATCTCTTCCACCGATAATGAAAGCAGCAGAGAAATAGTGTACACATGTTTGTTTCTATGACCATCAACCTTGCTCGCACAAGAAGCGGCATATAAGATTGTTACTGGTACTGTAATTTCATGCACAAATTATTATTTTGATCACTATATTGAAAATATTTACATGTGTGAGATGAAAGAAGATAAAAAGTAATAAGATTTGAGGGATGCAACATCATCAGCTAATAATAGCGACATGGCTAAAAGGCCGTAGAAGGTTCAAACATGGTGGAGTTATATGCAACCTTAACCTCCTTGAAGGATAAGTCCATTAAGATGTGTTTATTGGGCACATCTTGGTAAGTTGGATCCTTTGTATGTCCCTTAATTGAGTACTAAGACCGACTCTGCCATAATGAGATATCTCCTTTAGAGAAAGAACAGATCTGCAACAAAAATAAATAATAATAATAATAATAAATAAATCATAGGTAAAGTTGCTAATTATCTTAGCACTTAATGGGGTAATTTAGAGCTAACTTTTGTTATCTTATACTCTTTCCTCAACTTTTTGGATCAGTAGACCTGACACAAATAAATCACATATATTAACATCGAGTTATATGTTTCAGTACTGATACTTGATCGAACCTATAAATATCCATATGTCTGCACTGGTCATAAAAACCTTGCTCCTTGAGAATGACAAAGAAACTAATATGTTAGGTTTAGGTGGCTGATACATCTACTTGTAGGCGTGTTCACCAAAGAGATACAGGAAGCCTTTCATCATGGATTTCCATTTTGACATCTGCACCTCGCTGCAGAGTTCTTGGCAGCCTAAATAAGGTTGACATCAAGCATGTGAGGTGTTCTGGTTGTGCCATTTGATAATGAGGCCAATGTCCGCACATCACATGGATCTGTTTCATCTTTATCGAGAGAACCTTTCTCTTTATCTCAGTTCCACAAGGATTTCCATCACTCCATGCTTCCCGTTGAAGCTCACGAGCTGGGGAAGGAGATCCACTGTGTTGTTCTTCATTGCAAAAGTGCTTATAGAAAGGAAGAACATGACCTCCAGTTAGCATAATAGCTTCTTCACACTCTATTAGACTCACCATAAATTGTGTAATCTGATAACAATTATTCACCACAAGATAGCAACATTATCTTTACATGAAATCTACGAACATTTAAACTATTAGTAGACCGACGTTGTGATTGACAATAGTGTTACTGATATTGTAGCGTGTAAGAGAAAATTAGTTCAGTAGTTGAGATGTTGCATCCTCTGATGACGGATGTTGATGGCATTGCATCGCTGCTGCTGCCGCTGCTGGTTGTTGAGGTGAGGGGAGATGATGGAGATGAGGCCGCCGAGTGGGGGGCGCATCTTGGCGCGGTACACCATCTCGTCGTAGGGCCGCCGGTAGAACCTGAGGTATGGGAGGAAGGACTCACGCTCCCGCTCCCCTCGGCTCGGCACCACCTGCCCCTCCTTCCTGAACGAGAACAGCGTCGCGGGTGACTGCAAGAACGACGGCCTCGGCGTCCTCGGCGGCTGCTGATGCTGGCGAGGCTGTTTAGGCAGAGGGAAGGAACAAGGAGTCGAGGGTATGCTCCGGCAGGCGGGCGCGTAGGCGATGCCCGCCCGCGGCATGGACCGGGCGGCCGGGGAGGCGAAGGAGAAGGACCGGGCGTTGAGCGGGGAGGCGCCGATGAGGGAGGGGCTGGCGGTGGGCGCCACCGCGCGCGGGGCGGTGGTGGTGGTGGTGGACAGGTACCACGGTTTGAGGGAGTCGAAGTGGGAGACGGTGAAGGAGAAGCGGGAAGACGCGGAGCCGCCAACCTTGGTGGTTGTGGTGGCAGCCACGGCCGGGTCGAACCGGAGCGACGCCGTCCTCGTCGGGTAAGCCGCAAAGGCAGCGTCGTCGAGCGAGTCGTCGAAGTCCAGGGACGCCACCGCCGCCGCGACCGCAGATAAATCCACGAAGGGACGAACGCCCTGCCCACCCATCACCAGAAAACCGCAACAGAGACTTAACACCATGCTCTATGGCTTCATCAAGCAGCAAGCGTATCCATCACATACCTTCCAAAGATAAGAGAAAAGGGAAGGGGGATCGATGACGAATGCCTTGTGGAGGCGACCAGGGTAGTACTCGGAAATGATCTTGAGAGTGCCCACGAACAAGTTGAGGAATGCCGACGCTGACTTGAAAAACCCTGTACAAACTCTAAGCTTAGATTGACAGTGTCGAAGACTCAAAGATTCGTACACGACAGGTCGAAATTACGGAGTTGCTGGCGTCGTTTAGAATACTGTTCGACTAAGGAAGCCGTGTAGAGAGGCCCAACCGTGCCAGAGAACAAGAACCCTCCACTCATCTCTGTACAGGTCCACTAGACATGGCGGGAAGTGGGGTTCTAATGGACTAGGTCAGTGCCTGCAGCTGGCTGCTAGCTAAAATATGTTGATCGGTAGACACAGCTCGGTGCTGCTGCAGCAGTCCTGCAACGGTGGGGCTCTTTTGACCTTGGAGGCCACTGACAGAGCCACTGGCATCCACTCGCGGACGGACGACAAACTCAGCAGAGGAACAAACCTATTCTATGTGCACTAAGTGCCGACACATACATTAAAGCGAAGCATACGGTATTCTCCATCAATACCTGCGCTTGTTTCTGAAAATAAGTATATACTCATGTAGATAAAGAACATACTGGCATCGAAGAGAATGACGAACTGGTCTACGAATCTGGACATGGATGAGATCGCCACTTCCAGCGTGAAGACCAGCAAGCGCACAAACCTGCAGCCATGGGAAAACCAGGCTTAAGAAACGAATCAAAGACGATAAAGGAGAACTACAGCAGAGATGAGATCTCACGATTTCTGAGTGTGTGTTTTGGGGTAATCTTGCCTGATGCGGAAGACCTGTAACAATGGATCCAGTGAGTCTGTGAAGTGCTGCAGTTGCGGATTAAAGAAGAAGAAGAAGAAGAAACACAGTACCATAACCGGCCTGGCTTCGTCGTCGTGACCAGCCACATATGCTAAACCGCTGCCCAGCTCTTCAGAGAACTCATCGGCAATTAAATGATCTGCTTTTTGAGTCCAAAGAAAACGAAGTATCGGTTAGTCCAAAAGCAAAAAGAGACAACTGCTACATAGAAAGTTGTGTTGCTTCAAATGAGGAGCACTAAAGAAGTAGATGCCCGGAAAAATGTCATTTCAAGAGACGAACGAGCCGGTTATAGGATGAACACACGAAACAGACAAAAAGGGTTCGAAATTAATGTGTTTGAATCAAGTAAAGAGAAGCTTTCAGCCCCACAAGAAACAGAAGAAAAAGGAAAAGGAAGACTAGAAGATGAACACACAGAAATTTAGCATCGGTTCTGGGAAATGAACGAGAGAGAGAGAGAGAGAAGCTACCAGTTCCGATGCTCTCTCTCCAAGAAAGGGCGGTTCTGAGCTGCTTGGCCGCCTTCTTCACGTTATTTCCTTTGGCTATCAGAAACCGTTCGACACAGGCATCGTTGCAGAACTTCTCCTGCCACAACAAAAACAGCAGCAAGATATAACTGTGCTTTCAGTAAGGAGTAGAAGAAAGAGGAAAGAAGAAGATCATTAGGACATGAAACCTGCTTCACCGTGACAGGAGCTTGCTTCTTCAACATCTTGAGGACTGACTCGATCCGTTCTCTGTCCTTGGGCCCTTTCATCTCCGTCCCCATCGTGGCACCGGCAAAAGCAGGCAGAGAAGGCCAGCCAAACAACAGCAAGCCGACAGCTCCCCACTAATCTTCCATCAGGCAACTCCTAGAGCTGAAGTGGCGTGGGTGAGTGAGAGAGAGAGAAGAGGACGACGGTCTTTATAGTAGACGAGGAACTAACGGAAGCCGTTATGACAGTCGTTTCCGCCCGATCCGATCAAAGCAGCTCGCTGACGGCGCCAAGAAACACGTTATGGCTAACGCCCCGGCCCACTATTACTTGACTTGGCCAGCTTTATTTCTCGTTATTCTTGATGATGATGATGATCTTAACGATCCAATCACTTCATCGGACGGCTGGGATCGTTCCGCGGCTGCCGACGCACGCAACCATCGCGGTGGATTGGGTGGGTCATGGCATCCAAGGGCTTATGATTAACGTTAGCGGAGACATCTCTCGCTCGTGATGATGGGCCCACAGCGGGTTGTAACCTTCTTCGCCGTCCTTTTCGGCTCCACATACATCACGCCCCACGCATGATCCAATAGAAACATGACACGGTAGATCACGGATCGACTTCTGTTCCTTGACGAATAAATATATATATTGGTGCAGCGCGACCGTACGATCATGATTGGACGGACGTGATGGCAACAGGGGAACCGGCTCCCGCGCGTCGCGGTGAGGAAGACAAGATAACAAGTCCACGAGACATTCCCAAGATGTTCGAGCCTGAGGCCATTTCTTTATCCTCCTCTTCTCCGTTCTCCCACCGTCGCCTCAGGGCGAAGAAACAAGCGCCGTGGAAACCCATGTCAAGGAGCGGTTGTCCGCAAGCGAGAAAACTGCGTCATGCAAACCCCATTCTTATTCACATTTCACCAGCCCCCGAAAGGCCGAAGTCAAAACTGCAGGCCAACCCGGTTCAGAATCGTCAGGTACGTTGGCACTCTGTCATGGGGGAAAAGTGAGGGGTCGTCCCCAACCAGAAGGAAGAATGGTTCTTGTACAGTTCCAGTGTGAGAGAGGACGTATACAAAGTATACTTGGTTCGACGTTCCCGAGGATTGGGATTGAGCTCGCAAAAAAAGAGAAGAAAGGAACGCGGTGTCAGCTGGATCGTAGCGGGCGTTTGGTTCTTTTGTAGGGATTGGGATGGCGAGGGATTCTCTCCTCTGTGTCCGTGTAGAGGTGTGCAGTGTACTAAACAAGTGTATGTTACGGTTGCATACACCGTTTTGAATGCAGAGGAGGGCTCGCGGACTCCTCTGTGTCAAAAGAGTGAGTGTGACCTTTTCCTTCTTTTTCTATATCGATATGGTCACCTAATCCATGGTGTTCAAAATTTGAAATCTTGCAGTGGGGAAGAACACAGGAGAGAGAGAGAGAGAGAGAGAGAGAGGTGTGCACGGCCCACGTTATTAGGGGAATCATTAGATTCCATGGAGGTGCCTCCTTTTCCCCATTTCGAATGACAAGACGAGGGAGAAAAGAAATGGTTATGAGTAATCCCAGCATCATCATCACCATTACAACGAGCCTGCGCGATTAGCTCCATCATCCCACCAGCCTTTACCGGGATTTACGAGCCTTTTCAGAGAGAGAAAGAGAGAGTCCGCCCCCATCACATCATGACTCTGTTGCTGCTAATGGTCAGAGCATGCAGCCCAGCTGCTGTGTCTCTCACGATTCCACTGCTGTTGCATGCTGGTCAGCACTAAGCAGACAGAGCGGAGCTTCGCGTGCACGAGTCTTGGTTGACCTAAGGATTGACGAAAGCTGCTCCCAGAGTTGCTCACCCTCCCCCTGAGCGCAGCTTTCTCTGTGTTGCTCCATTGTCTTTGACCGTATGAAAACCTTTGGGGAAAGAATTGTCTTCTACACCAACTGCAGTGGCTTTCAAACAAACACTAGTTTGTGCTTCCCGAGGAAGTCTTTATATATATATATATATATATATATATGTGTCAACTACGAATCTGCGATTAGTCTACTTGGTTTGAATCTGAGCATCTGATTAAGATTTGATTACTGAAACATACTGCACACAGTTGTTTTTTGTGATCTGCAGTAAACAAAGCTTCAGAGCATTGAAACCAAGTGAACAAATCTGATACAAAGAGAAAAGACAGCAGCATGCGGTCCTCACCATGACAAGAAAAAGACTGCAACAAGTTCATATAAAAACTGCATGTCCCAGCTGGAGTTTGGGTGTTCCATTCGAGTACGGTGCTTCACAGACAGAAGAGTTCACAGGCCGTGGGGATTACATACATGCATGATCCAACTCATTGTGGTGGTTTCAGCTCTCACTCGGGCTGCGGATTGTATCTCCCTGTTGTCTCATCTCTTGTCTTTACCACTTAGGACTCATCGTTTTGTCCTCCTTTTCCCACCCTTCAGTGCACAGTGGATGAGTCCCAGTGTCCCCTCCTGCAGCATGGAAGAACTCTCTGGTGTTTCTTTTCATTTGTTGGGTTAATTAAACTCTATTAAAATGAATGCATTAAAATATGTCAGAATTGGAAATGCATTTTGACTGATGAACACCACTAAAAGGCACCAGTCCAATCATCTCACAGTTGCTGCTGCAGCTTGCCAAATAATTGCTGCAGTTACTGTAAGCTATCATTCAGTCATCGATGCAAATGGCCGTATTATTATTAGTCAGTGCATCTGATGCATATCACAACAGTGTTCCTCTATCTTATATTATGCACTCGATTAGTTTATAATGCAGTAGTAGATGAGTATCTCCACCAGCAATATAATGATGTCTATCAAATGAAATATTTTAGGGCGAACAAGACATCATGTCATGCCAAAATCGTATTTTAGTTTGCCCACCACAGCTCAGCCTAGAAAAATGGTGCTTGAGAAGCTGCCAAAGTGATCTTTCAGGAACAAGAGCATGTCTAACCATGAGCTAAAAGAATGACAGATACATCACATAAACAGGACAATAAAGCATGTTGTGGCATCATCAAATCTAGCAAGAAGGCACTAGTTTTGCTATGATTGCCTGTGGCAAAACTTGGCATCAGTGGGAATTATTGCTCTTGACTGCTGTGTCTTGTCTCAGAGCACCGAGCTAAAGCTTTTTATATGGGAGTGTATCTCAAACAAAGAAAGAGCCATGTTTCACTTGTCCACCTCTATCTAATAGCTTTCAGCAAGTTCCCAAGCTTTCGCCAACATGGTAGTTGGCACATCATCAGTGACACAGAAACTAAAACAGGAGTCAGACAAACTACTAGCTGAAGAAAAAAAGATGAAAAGCTATCATCAAGCAGAGTGTTTTGGATGAACCCAAACAAAATTTCAAGTGACAGAGTTGAGAACAAAGTAACCCCTAGTGGAAGGTAGATGAGGTGACTGGTGAGATGTAACATCAGTGCTAGGCTTGGAATGTGATGATAGACTATTCTTAGTGCTTGTTTCAGACCATTCTGATGCAAAAAGTTTTCAATGATGTGCATGGTCTACCGACAAATCTCACTGCCTCTTCTTTGCTTGTCCCCTTTATCCATCAAGACTTGTGCCTGTTGTTGGCTTCCCTGAGGGTTTGGGATGGCATCTGACTCTTAATAGAGTACTAGTGACATAAGCAGTCAATTTTACAAATCATATTAAGAAAATATTCATGTGGTATGTGAAGATTGAAAAGAAGACTAAAGAATATTTTACAATTTTGCTCACAACTTAATAAGTTTAAGCTTCTCTCTCTCTCTGTATATATAAACCATCTCTTGATCTATTTACTATTATGGAGTAGACAATAGAGGTTTGCTAGATCTAGGTCGAACTACCAAATAGAAGGCCCTCTCAAGATCATTATGAACTTATAAAGGATTGCACCTTTAGCTTTAAGCAATTTGGGCCTCTTAGCAAGGTCAATTACTTGTGAACACTATTATAAGATATGAATTTAGATGTGGGAGATTGTGACACTCTAATAATATCACATCAAAATATTTCAAAAGATATGCCTGTATATATAAAGTTGATGATTTGATTCTAATGCTTTTCACTCATATTTTTGGGCCTTGTTATCAGACACTTACTAATAAATGAGAGACCATTGAAGCACACATATATATATGGTTTAACCCACATTGGTGTCTAATCTCATGTATATTAATCCTCTTGTCAGTTGAGACTTTATTATGAATCTCATGTATATGAATCCATAAAGGAGCAGAAGAAAAGAAATTTGCTGCAGTGTGCAAAATCAAGATGGGATCAAAAAGACAGTTTGGTAACAGCGAAAAGATCCAACAGTTTCGATGTCATTTCCATTACACTCATTACAAGTGAAGTCAGACCTATGGAGGAGAATTCGAAGAATGAACAAATAGATACAGGTTGTATTTGTTAGAATTTAGAAGATTGACATCCACTTCAGTCATCATCTTCCTCATGATTCCACTGAAGCGGTTCCTGTCCGTGTATACTTGGCCTTTTCTGTGTCAAGGTAGTGTGCCGAACTGTGGCATGTCATTCCATACCGGCCATGGAGTTCCATTCCATATGCCGGTGTTGCTGTTGCCATTGTTGGTTGTCATCGTACTCATTGTGGTGTCGGTCGTGATGGTGGTGATGGGCATGGTAGGGGAAGACTCGACGAACCATGGTGGTGAAGTGTGGTGTCCGCTACCGGCACAACACTTTGTGGAGGCGTGGCCCTCCAAACCTTCGTCTTTGGATCTCTCCACCGCCTCGAATGAGATGGGATCCTGTTGGTTCTCCAGAAAGGGAGGTGGGAAAGCGGACGTGCTGCTGCTGTCTTTGTGGGCTTGCCCTCCGTAGAACATAGCCAACCTCTGTTGCTGAAGTTTCCAATGGAGATCTTGGTTGATGGAGCTCAAGGACTCGATGGAAGAGGCAATGCTACTGTTCGTGTGGCCGCTTCCCGCAGACGAAGAGCAGCCGCCTGTGTCGCTGTAAACCCCCACAGCAGAAACTGGATAGTTGTAGCCCAGCATGGGGGTAGCAGCTGTGCCAGATGAAGAAGACATCCTTAATGCATTGGGTGAGGAGATGACGTCTCCCAAGGACATGCACTGGTTGCTGCTGAGCACCCCCGAAGTGCTCAGAGAATGGAGGCCGGAGAATGGTCG